CCAGTTTCTGGATCTCAATCTATTTATTGTATTTGGATTTTCAGCAAAGTTTGTGTACAACAAGACGGTTTACTCCCTGAAATACAACCCAAAAATCTTATTTAAAAACACACACACAAAAAAACAACCAACATTTTTCTTTGCAAGATGCACACAGTTGAAACAAGACGGTTTTTTTTATTTTTTCTCAAATGGAAATTCTTTTAACAGAACCGTTGCTCCAACGAGTAATGATATAGATGCCGTCACCATTTTTTTTTTACTTAGTTGTATTTCAAACAGAAGAGTGATTCATCTTAAAGGAAGAATTGTTGATTACCTAAGGAATGAACATCTAACAAACTCAGCGCATGGTTCTTGCTGTACACGAAACGAATGGCTCCTGAACAAAATACTAATGAGCACATTTAATGTGTAAGTCCAAGTTTTGTGTCGTAATTATGGCTGGTCTGCTTTCCAGTCAATTAAAAAATATTGTAATAAAACAATATTGTTAATGGCGAAAACAATAATCCTTCATTCGTTTGATATACTCATACATGTACTACGTGTCCTTCATTCACGAATATTGATGCACCTCAATACAGGCGCGAATTTACTTCTTGGATTCCACAGTTTTGCTAAGGCTGATTTTTAAGGTTAACTTTGAGTTATTATCATGGGAGACTCTTTTCACTCTTTTCGTAGATGTAATGTTAATGTGCCAGGTGAGGCAAATATTTTTTCAACTCTAAATGGTGTGCTGCATGAAGGTTTTAACGGGGTAATTGGGTGAATATATTTTTAAGTTTCTTATGGACGCCACTGTATATAGATCTAGACCTATGTTGAAATCATTTTCTTTTTAACTGCGATTTATTCAAAGTACTGTATGGTGTGATATGGGTTTAATGCTCATGTCAAAATATGGATTATTTAAGAGACAATACCTCCATATTTATCATCTTTCTCCGAAAGGACAGAGCTAAGTAGACTACGAGCCATGAAAGTTCCCAACAACTGCACGTTCAAGAACGCCCATTTTTGGGGATTCGAGTCAGAGTCATCCGCATCACAGCCACGTTTGAGATGATCCAATTGTGGCCTCTTAATGCAACGTAAATTTCATACCATACACAAATTTTATAAAGAAACATGTTACTGTGTGTATCCACAAAGGTATGAACAATGAAATTAATTGAAAGAATACTATACACTCACGGTGTCTTTTTAATGCGAATGAGAAAAATACTATATGGCTCACATGCGTGTGTCCAAAGGGTTCTTATTTTTTAGATGAACTCTTGACTACATCTACAGAATACATGTATTATCAATATCTTCGCATCCTCTCCAGGCCCCCACTGAACGTCAGCAGCGAGGTGTTTTATCACAAAACCTCCCTCATATCGGAAACGGCCTTATGGCTGACCCGCTTCCCGATGTCACGGTAGCCGGCTGTGGAACCAGAGGGCATATGGTTCGTATCTCTTCTACTTTATCTGGTCTTGGCATGAGCCGTGGGAATAAAATGGCCCAGCATGTCGGGGCATATGTCTCATCCACAGACACACGGGAGTAACGGGGCTAAAAGGCAGGGGTGAGTGGCGGGTTGGGGGGGGGAGAGGAGGGTTAGGAACTCTTGTAGATGGTTTGCTTTTCTGTAGCTGTTGAGACAAATTAAAAAGTAGGTAAGCAGAGGAGGGAGAGAGGGAGGGAGGAAGGAGGAGGAGGAGGTGGCGGTGACGAGGGAGAAGAAGAAGAAGAAGAAGAAGAAGAAGAAGAAGAAGAAGAAGAAGAAGAAG